CACCACCTAATCTGTTCTCTGCCTGACTCCCCTGCTGGTCAGCAGCAAAATCTAAAACCTCCCTCTCCAGTCTCCCTCAGGGGAGGCCTAGGCTGGGACAAGAGGGGAGGCCTAGGCTGGGACAAGGCCTCCATGGTCCTACTGCAGAGGGTGACTGGGACCTGCTGCTATGGAAGGAGACAGCTGCCCCAGCCTCCCCCAACTCTGCAAGTGTGACAGAGAAGGGGAGATGCAGTTGGGGGTTCGGCCCTCCAACTGCTGGCTCCTTCCTCTGCTGTGGCCCGGGTGCCAAGGCAAGGCTAGCTTCATCTCTGCCTTCTGGGGCCCAGGGAGGGGCCTGAGTTGCAGGCTAGGGGAGTGCTGCCTCTCTGCTCCCAGTAACCCCAACCCAGAGAGTTCCGGGGATCCTAGACTCCAGACACGGAAAGACCTGCAACATCACTGGTCCCACCTCCTCATTTCATCTGTAGCAAACAGACCCACAGAAGACCAGGGTTTTACCCAAGGTCGTAAGACGGTGTGGCGCGCTGGAGCAAGGGTTGGATGGAGTGCAAGGCGCTGTACGGCCCTTTCCAACGCGCTGCTGCTCCTACGGGAAGAAAACCTCCCGGAAATGGGAGGATACCTGGGGCCCTACCCCTGCACACCGTGCCCGCCTGCCAAGCTGCCAGTCCCGAGAATGAAAGTTGCCTCGGTGCCCTGAGCTGCCTCCGAAGGCTTCCAAGCAACCACTTCTTCCCAGGTGGCACCGTCAGCGCTCGCTCGGGGCTGGAGCGGGGGTGGCGAAACTTCCCGAGGCCCCCCTGGGCCGGCAGGAGGAAGAGGAAGGAAGGGGGCTCTCCGCCGCGCCCCGGAGCACCCCTCGCCCCCAGCCCCTTCCCATCTCTCGGCTCCTCGCTGCTGCTGCTGCCGGCAGGGGCGAGGGCCCCGGGCCGGGCGGGGCCGAGGGCGGACTCACCTTGGCCAGGGCCTCCGCCTGTTTGGGGCTCAGGTCGCCGACTCTGCCGCTCATGGTGGCTCAGGCTCCGGCGCGGCGGTTACGGCTGCTGATGGAGCCCGGACTCGTTCTCCGCCGCCCGACTCTAGTCCCAGCCTTTTGCCCCGGCCACGGGGCGGGCGGCCAGGCCCCGCCTCTTAAAGGATCCGGGGGCGGAGCCTGGGGGGGGGCGGGGAGGCGCGCCCCGCCGCCCTCCTGAAGTCTGAACCCTGGCAGGAGGCCGAGGCCAGCGGGGCCCCAGAGGTTGGCCTGAGGGCAAAAGCAGGGAGTCCGGGTTCTAGGCCCGAATTTATCCTCAACGGTCTGTGTGGTTCTGGGGAGATACCTGAGCTCTCTGGACCTCAGTTTCTCCATCTAAACAACGAAGAGACTGGACCAGATGCTAATGAGGTCTTCTAAGGTCAGGCCCCAAAAGGGTAGAGCCCCCACCCCCAAGACGGTTGGGAGCTTGCAGGGTACCTCCGTGAGGGGCGACTTCCCGTAAGCCTAGGCATGGGCGCGCCTCAGTCTGGGGAACTGTGGCACTTGGCTTGCCCTCTCTAGGACACTTGCCCTGCCCCTGTCCTGCCGTGAGTTTTCCAGGTTTGCCATCACCACTGCGGGTCACAGCAGCCCCACGGAGTGTCTTCTGGATTGAGTTCCTTTCCCCTCCGCCTGTGAGCAGGCAGAGCAAAGAGCAAGGCACCAGGCTGAGGAAACACACGAATGAATGGTGCCTGAGATACTTGACTGCTATCCAGAAGCTTGGCGGTTCAAACACACCAGCTGCTCCACAGAAGGAAAATGGGGCGATCTACTTCCATAAAGACTTATCTCCTCGGAAACCCAGTGGGGGTCGCTGTGAGTCAGAATGTACTCAATGGCAGTGAGGTTTTTTGTTTTTTTTTTCCTGTCTCCTCACCCAGGGTCCTGTCCTACTGGCTTGTAAGCATGGTTCCTTTCAACATTTACATCAGGT